TATTTGCATAGGTTTGATTTCAGTGGGAGGTAAAAGTGGAGGAGGAAAATATTAGTTAGAACAGAATCTGACAATGTTTAATGGAAGATTATTTTTGCATATTTTGTGATAAGGAAAATATGTGTTGAATGTACAGATGTTCTGAACAGCAAATAATGATGCTTCAGTTGACCAAACAATTTACAATAATGCCCTCTTGCTAAAGCATACTGATTTTTTATTTTTTTTAATTTAGGAGGAACTCATATTTACTGCATGTCACTGTTCTGTATTGTTGTGATGAATGTTAAACTTCTGAAATTAATGAGCAAAGCTAGTAAAGGAAGCAACAATAATTTGGTTGGTTATTTATTTTATAACACAGAAAGGCAGACCAGGGGAGATTTAGGGTGATATTAGGAAGAAAGTTTTTACAGAGAGAGTGATCAGACATTGGAATGGGCTGCCCGGGGAAGTGGTGGATTCACCATCCCTGGAGGTTTTTAAGATGAGACTGGATGTGGCACTTAGTGCCATGGTCTAGTAACCACAGTGGTAGTGGATCAAGGGTTGGACTTGATGATCTTAGAGGTCTTTTCCAACCTGGTTGATTCTATGATTATTTTAGCTTTTTCCCTTAGTTTTGCTAGCAACAAAAAGCTTTTTCTTGTCTCTGTATATATCAGTGTTTAAAATCATAGTCTACATTTCAGCCACAGTGAAACAGCCATCTTTAAGTCCATTCTTAAATTTTGTGTGCACACATGTACATTAAAATGTTAAAAATTTTGACGGTTTACTCAGAAATAATTTCAATTATTTTTCAAGTAGAAGGTGCAATACAAAAGCTACAATTATCATAACTTGTCCTGCATTTGTAGATTTAAAGTCTTTATCCTTCTGATTTGTTTTATAAATTAAAAATGCAGTTGTCTTCCACAATCTATCCCACGACTAGTATTCATGTACTGTATCCAGCACAACGATAAAATAACAGATAACATGTATCTACAGTACAAGTAGGATTTTTTTTTTCTCACTGTGTAGCTTCTCTAGAATTCCTGAATTGTAGCAAATTAAATTAGGCAAAATAAACAGGCATGCATACTTGCCTACATCAAACTGTCTATGTCCTATGCATAGTTATAATTAAAGCCCAATTTCAAAAGAACGTGCAGGCAAGATTTCTTCTTTTTTCTTCTGGAACTAGCACAAACCATACCTGGTAGCTCAGATTTTACATTGATTTATATCTTACACCAACCATACGCCAGAGCAAAATATATATTTTAGTGCCTGTTTTCCTTGACTTTTCTCTGGTTGCAGTACAACCTTAATTTCTTCCACTTTTATATAAAACAAATAATACTGCAGACAGCAGTGGGTCATATGGAATAGGTCAAGGGGAGAAAAGACTCTATTCTTACCACCAAAAGTAACACATAAATCCTTCTCACTCATTCTTCAGCTGAGTATTTTGAGAAGCCATTTCATATACTTATAGCTGACGTCTACTTGGCTTTAAGTTGGTTTCACGATCATGCAAATCCTCACACTATGGTAAATCTTAATGCAGAGTTCTTCAGTGAGAAGCATAGAAAGTTTTCCTTGATTTTCTTGATTTTTACATATTTTGAATGAAAGTGATGACACATGAAAAGAGATATTTTAGGAGAGCTGTGTTTGAACATTATGAGACCATTTACCATGCTTTATTTTTTTAATCCTGGTGGACTTGATTCAAACTCAGAGATATTTTACCCAATGGCTTTTCATCCAGAATTAAAATTCCACTGAAAGATACATGAATTTAAAAACTTACATTTAAAAACTTGCATTCAAACTGATGGAAATTAAAGAAATTACATGAAGGATTTTTATGACAGCTGTTTTATAGTATATTTTTATAATGAAAAAAATACAAGCTCACAGATGATGAGAGGAAGTTAATAGATAATTATATTAGTAATTCATTACCTTTGAACTCCAAAGACTTTTCAATAACTTTGTACCTAATAACTTCAAACTGTCCAAAGACAGTTTTTAAGCAGAGTCATTTGATGGAAAAAAAAAAAGGCAAGCTGAAGACTGTGTGTCCACTGGCATGCCTATTAATGAAAGGAAAGTACAGTTTTCTTACAAGAGTGAGAGGTTTCATATTCTTTCAGTGACCGTGGCATAGGAGACAACCAGAAGAGACCCCTTGCTACCTAGGGGTCTTGGTCTCAACTTTTATATTAGGAGAGCCAGTTATATCTGTAGTTTGACATAAACCAGGATAATCTTTAAAAGCAACTCACTGTCACTCATGAGAAAAAGAGATATCACCAGATGGTACAGCAACCTCCAACTGGGCAAGTGTCAGTTACTGAGACTGGCACTCCACACTCACACTTGCATGCGAGAAGCGACACTGTGCACAGTACGTAACCACAGCCCTCCGTGCCAGCTTCTACCAGTAGAGGTGTTCGTTCCTTTTCCAGCATATGCTGGGTCTTTCCTACGTGATAAGTCACCATGGTCCCCTCAGGGAAACCCCCAAACCATAGCAGAATCCTCCTGTGGTTTCCAGAAGGTTCATACATTTCATCAGGTAAAGACAAGCATGCTAAGTTCAGCCCCACCCTCATCCCTTAGGAATTTACACTTCTTGGCTTCTGTAACTGAAGATCAAATGTGTTTCCTTGTGCAAAAGAAACACGATGCAGACACAGCAGCAGGCAGGGTGGGAAAGATAAAGGATTTGCCATAAATCCAGGGCACAACCCCAGGCAGGGCTAGGCACAGGTGAATTCTCCTGTACCTGCTCCATGAGGAATACATGCATGCAGTAATTGTTCAGACTGTGTTCCCACCTATCCTCCAGCTGCCAGTGATAGCAATCTTCCAGCACAGCCTCCAGCAGAATGTGACTGCTAGGACTATTGCTCCATTTCACTTTGGCAGCTGCTTGTTTCTGACTGGATACACCAAGGTTTTGTACCCATGACACCCAGTGCTCACACTCACTGCTGCACTGCAGAGGTTTCACTGGCTCCAAATATCTCCCCTCTCACTGTAGGCTGACACTTCTGGTGGATTAGGAAGGTTTTCCAGTTCTTCACTGACATAAGAATTGAAGGACAACTAAATTCTGCCAAGCACATAGGCAACTCTATTTGGTTTTGTGGAGAAGAGCTACTGATAGGGTACAGCCCACAAATCTTGTTGTTACATTGCTTTTTGTATTTGTGAGATCCTGTTCAGTATTTTAAGGCCATAATGCTTTAATAGTTGGCTTGAGACAGCTGCAGCCAACTTCCTTTCTTAATTACTATGCTGGGGTTATCCCAAGACATTTTTCAGCTGTAAGCTGTGTCATAGCATGAAAACATTTGAAAACTGCTGATTTAATAAAACTACACACTGCTGGCCAAAAAAGTGAGAACCTAATTTGGAAATGATGTTAATTAGCTATATGGCGTGGTGTCGGAAGTATCACACTAAGACTTTGAAAAAGGCAAGTTTTGCAGTTGCTTCTATCTCTTTTCAAACAATAATCAAAAGCATAATAAAAAAATCTGCAAATTTTCACTTTATGATCAATGTCAATCAAAATAATCACTTAAATGGTGCATTCAGTAACATTCGACTGTTTCTTAATGAAAACTATAGAATCACAGCACCAACATTTTACAAAGAAAATGGGGTGGGTGTTTGCTTTAGAGAGAAGAGGTCTTTTTCATTGAAAATTTTTTCATTGAAAATCTTTTTCATTTAAAGTGCCTAACCCAACTGCTGCTATGCACCTAGAACTGCACAGCAAAAGCAAGAGGAGAAACAGTAGCATTTCATCTCCCAGCCTGGGTGTCCTCCTGGCTGATTATCAGAAAGCAACACCAGCAGAAGCTGGTGCAGACCTGCTGCTCAACAGGATGGGCCAGAGGCTCAGCCTGTGAGACCGCCACCACGGTTGCTGCTCATTTCCTGTGTGCTCTGGGTATACTGCAAATCACATACTTACATATTTGAGGATTTATATGCCTTGCCCCTCACTGCACTAGAGATTACCTCCCTAATATTACTGGCACTAGCAGCTGTTACCAGCGATGCGACTTTAGCATCAGCCTCTCGGTTGCTGGGTATATGCAGCAGGGAGAGTGCTTCCATTTTCTCTCCAAATTCAAACTCCCATTGCAGCAGCTGAGCCAGAATTTGTTAAACCAGTCACCAGGTTGGAAAAGTATTTTTAGTGTTTAATATTTGTAGTAACTTTGTGGAAGTACAGCTAAAATATCATGGTTTTCCTCCATGATATAGGGATTGATATGTGTGTAGATATAGGGATTGTCCTCTGATACAGGCAGTCATGTGAGGCCTGATGATCTTCTGATACAAGCTGATTTCACACTGCTTTGGCATAGTAAAATTACCTTAATATGGGATTAAATGACAGTAATTTAGAGCCATGTTGCCCTGCTGATGGACTATGAATTTACTATACACGAAAATCATGCCCATTTTTAAATTTAATTCTTTGCTCTGGAACTTGGACAGTAAGTACAGATTAGTTATAAAAACACAGATTCTCTATAAATACAAAACTACTATTTTTCCTGGTTTGCAGCACCTAATCTAAGGAATACAAAACTTGTCATTATGCCTCATCAAGGCCTACTCTCTAAACTCAGCAGGAAGCAAGTGCATGTGCGGTTTTTCAATCCTGAAGTAACTGCCTAGGTCTCAAACATGGTATTCATATTACATACCACTTTTTCTGGTACACTGAATTTCACTTGTATGATACATCTTTAGACCTGTCTCTGAAAAAGAAGATGAAACCCCATTCTAAAGTCAGATAAGTATACACATATGGTCCTTCCTACTGTAATCACACACTGGTCTAAATTGTGGGGGGCGGAAATGTGAAATGCGAAACAGCACGATAAAAAGCACAATCCCACCTTATTCCAACAGCAGCAGACACCAAAATTTGCTAATAGATATGCCTGCTAACAACTAACTAATCTCATTTACCCTACCTTTTTCTTCTGCAAGTATTTTCTTCAGGATAAATCCCATGCTAAAGCTGGCCTCCACAAGATGCCACAGCTGCACTTCTGCCCCATCCACAGGTGGAAACACTGCTGAAAGAAGAAGTTAGAAAATCTTAAATCCACATTCAGATTTTTTGTGGATGTCTGTGTCAAAGGAATGGTTCTGGCCTCAGTGTGCTCCATCCTCATTTATCTTTTAGGTTAACTGCATCTCACTGGCAATGTGACAAGACCATCCCATTGCCTCTAGAGCATCATAAAATGAAGGTTTTGTAAGCACGATCTAGAAATGGGTGTGCACAAATGTGCACACATGCATGCACACACAAACTGCTCTCTAAGGGGACCCCACACCATAAGCATGACACAGTTGGCTCAGAAAGCAGAAAAGAAGCCGTGGGGGTAAGTTGAAAGCAAAGTTACAGACATGGCCATTGAGACCATGTCCTTCCACCTCAGAAGGTGGCACACAAACCTGTTAGACCCCAGCAGGACCAGGCAGCCGCCGGAGCCACAGCCAGAGCCAGATACCTTGGCAAATTAAAAATACATTGAATCTCACTTCGGTCCTAAGACCAACTTTTCTCAAATTCTCACAATAAAATCTTCACCTAAATTTGCTTGGGAACTTTAAGATGAAGCAGAACAGTTTTCTCATAAGCATAATGTACTTCACAAATGAGGAAGAAAACCATCTTTTGAGGTGCTGCAGGTTTACACATGCCTATCACTCGCGGGTTCCCAAATCTTCGTTCGCAAAGCCCAGCCATGATGATGATCACTCGCGGGTTCATAGTTCATACAATGGCAAAGAGCATCAGAATCAGACCCACCATCCTTAGAGTAATTCCCATTTGCTCTTTTTAATTCTCTCAGTTAACATGTTAAAAATTGGCATGGCACAGCGCATCACACCCCTCTTTCTACTTTATACAAGGCCTTTTTATGCTGAAGTGGAAACAAACTCTGGAACAAGTGAAAATCCAGAAAATACACAATCTGGACCAGTGTTCAATTCTGTATCACAATACTGAGTAGTTACCAGATGGTATTAAAAGTCAGACTGATTACATGAACCAATGTCACAAACTTATTAATAAAAGTAATTAACAAATGTAAAACAAAAGATACTGAATTCAATTCAGAATATCAATTCACATTAAGACTTTTGGAAAAAAAAAAGAAAATGCAATGAACTCACCAGAGACAGGAAGCTGAAAGTGGCTGTTGAAAATAAACGTTACGGAAGTCAAGTATTCTAGACGAGACAGGGGAAGAAAAAAAGAAGAGTGGTGTTCTGTGTTCTTGGTTTTTTCAGATGGACTATTTTTTAGCAGATTAGAACAATTATATTCTTGAAAGGACAAAAAAAACAAAACCTCAAGAGGTAACCAGAGACCACTGCACATTCAGGCTAAATTAGTCCTGCAACTGGGTCTAGTTCATCTGGAGGCAGCACTGACAGCAGACCCAGATGCAGTGTGACGAGAAAGAGTGGAGAGGTTTAGCGTAAGTCAGCTTCCTGGTGAGAGCTTCTCAGCTCTGCCTGTGTGGGTTTGTTGTGGGTTGGTATATGAGTGTATATATCTTTCTCTCTGTGGTGACTATGGGAGCAGATGTAAAAACCTTGACTATGGGGGAGGGGGGCAAAACCTCCAGCCTGCAGAAAGCTTTCTCTTTGCACTCTGCTGCTCCTACAGCTGCCTCCTCTCTGCTACAGGGGCTAATGGCATAGGGCAGCCCAGCAGCTCCAATGTGAGTAGAAACAGAGCAGACTGACAACTGCCTGGTAGTGCTACATGCAATTCCCACTCCAGTAGCATGAACGAGACTTGGGATACTTTTCTGCAAACTGGAATATAGTCCTGCCTTTAAAAGGAGAGTACACGTATTTAGCTGACTTTGTGCAAAACCCAAGGCAGGCACTTTTGGGCGGATTCAACATTGGCTTTGTTGTAATTCAGTGAGGATCCCTCTGAAGCATTGGTTAGGATTGATTAGTAGTATCATTTTATCAGCGAGTATGTTCTCTCTTCTACCAGCATAAAGAGGCTGAGCAGGTGGAGGGACTACAGTCATTGAGACTCCCACCTTTACCAGCATAGACAAATTGAGCTGGCCAGATTCTCATCATTTGCAGATTTCCTTCCACAACACTGAAAGCACAGCTGTGATGATAGTTTCAGGATTTCAGGTGTCTATGGTCTACACTCCAGGGGCTGTCAGCACAGGATGTTGTCCATTTTATGTGATTAGACAATCAGACTGCAGGGACGGCATTCCTGTCCCATACTCCTTAAGCAGCCCAAGCACACCAGCACAGCAGAGCTGCCCCACAGCTGAACACGAGGGGCCCGGATGACCAGCACAGTGGACTTTCTGGTCCTCAGGCAGAGCAGTGGGTTCCCATAAGCTTTGAAACCCAGAGGCACAGAAATGGAATCCAAGTACTTTTCAGCAAATATTTTGGGTCAGTAAAGCCACTTCAGACCATCTCTAGCCATGAAATAGTAGGAACAGGTTGCCTGATCCATATTGAAAGCTATGAATTTTATGTTCCTTGCAGGAGGGGAACTCTCTGAAGACAGCTAATGAATTTGTCCACTTTAACAATGCGACAGTTCAGTGCATTCCAAGATAAATCTTGCTTCCAAGAAAGATTAAAAACCAACAGAATAATTTACAAGATAAAGCAAAAAGGAAACAAAAAAGAAAATTTATGTGTAGATGAAAGGCAGTTGTGCCAAAATATTAATAGCTGCTGAAAGAACACACCCTATGTAAACATGCTGTAAACCCCTGGTGATACAAAGCTTGCAGAACAGTGCTGCACAGTTAGGATGGGGAATCAGTTTGTTTCTTTCCCCATGAAATGAAATTGATTCAGTTAATTACCAACAGGGATGAAGGTAAGAAAGGATGGCTCAGAGAAGGCATTTATGGAATTCTATTTTATTAAAATCTTTAATCTTCCTTTTAGTTTGAGACAAAATTTTGGATAAGGGGCTTCAGTGCACTATCAGCTTGCATGAGAAATTCTGTTACTTAATTTTCACATTAAATATCTATTCATCTGTTTTTAACTGAGTTTGGGTTTTCCAATACCAGCGTATGCAATCAGGCAGTAAGTTTCCAATGCAGTTGTGATAAAGAAAATCAGACACCCAAACACTTTGAAATGTTTCCATCAGAAACATTCAGAACTGTCAGAAGCAGAGAAATAAATACTATTCACAAATTATACTGATATAAATGTCTTTGGTGATCATCACCAAGTATAGGTCTGCCGCAGAGAGCAGATACTTAAAAATGCAACTACTCCTTTCTGTTTCGTGCTGAGACTAATCCAGATGTGAGGCCATCTGGCTAAGTGATTTGCATTTCTGGAAAAAGAGTGCATCCATCTGTAAAATACTCCGTAAACAACTTTTGAGCCGAGTGAACCCAGCAAATAAACAAGACTAGAGTATAAGAAATGTGATCTAACATGTCTTGATTTCCACCCATTTCCCTCCATCGTGCTTCCTGGAGGAACTTGACTGAATAACTTCCAAAAAATAGTTGAATTTGATTAATTTGAGACCTTTCTTAGGGATACACATGCTTCACACATTTACCATGACTTCACTTCCAAGTGACCTGAAACTCCAACAAAAGACCCTCATCTCCATGCTCTCTGCACAACATGTAAGCAATGCCAAAGGTAGGTGTAATCTTGCACCCTGACCTGTTTCACTTGATCCTTGATTGGTTGTAGGGCTTTTTTTTTTTGGTGTGTGTGTCTTTCTTACTGCAATTTTTCTGCTCCCTTTCACCTCTTCATGCTGTGCAATGAAGGGGAACATCTGGCTGTGAGAGAATAGTTAATACATTAAAAAATACATCACTTCTCCTTTTTTTAAAACTCATTATGAGTCATTATCTGGGATATTCAGAAATGAACACTTTGTTGTGGAAAATAATTACAGGGCAGGGTGGAGGATTGCAATTTATTTTTGCATTGAAAAGTAAGCTGAGAGCAAAAAAAATAGTCTTAAACTGCAAGTAACTAAGGGTTTGTAACAAATTATCTAAAATGACGTGACCCAGGGTTTTGACGCGGTTCAGTTTACAATGAAAGGTCACATTTGTTCTTCATCCACTGATTTCTGTCCCTCTTGGAGAAACCAGCAAGCGGCTGATGGTAGGAAGGTGTTTGAGATTAAGGAAGGAAGCTGCTCCTATCCCCCCTGCCTGATTTCCTTTTTGTTCTCAGATTCACTCAGCTCTGATTTTGGTCTGCCTCAAACAGTATGGTATGTGCAATGCTCAGGAAGTAAACCATGACATTCTTAATATTCACTGTATTTAGCCCTACAAGCCTTTCTCCTGTCCTAGAGGATCATTATATTATAGAAAATAAAGCAAATTGTTGATTATATCTAGCCACTGCACCAGAGCTATAAACAACACACAAGAAGAAGTGTGCTTATTTTTTGTTTAAAAAAGAACTTAATTCTCTTTTTTTTGTATCCTTTTCAAAGAGAGGCAAGAAAAATATATGTGGTCAAGATGCCAGCTGTGCATTGGGAAAACTGGGATGCGGCTATTTGCTTTCATTCAAGTTTCTGGGCAGTACAGGGGAAATCAGGTAGGTTGCCCCGACCCATTTCAACCCAGGGGGTGAAAGTACTCCTTTCCCAGGAACAGATACCTCAGCAAAAGGGAGGCTTTCTCACAGTATGGCAGAGAGCGTTGCTAAGAGAGTCTTTAAAGCAGACCAGGCACAGCAACTTCTGCAGCATTACTCAATGTGAGAGCACTAAATCTGAAAGGGGAAATGAAAACACAGTTTCATAAGAACTTCCTACATGGATTCCGGTGGAACTCTCACGCTATTTACTATGCCTTGATGAATTTAGGCTCTGGTTCCTCAGCAAGCCAATGTTGTGTGTTAGACACCCTCGGGTTTGGTACTGCAGTGGCACAACCTGAAGCATGTGGTGATAAAAGAGAGTCCAAAATCTAGCATTTGATGCTATGTTTCTGACACATTGTGTGGGCAGGACTAGAAGCCTTCAGAGGGTGAGTCAAAGCCCTCCAGCATACTGAGGCTGGAGCATGCCTGACAGAGAAGCCTAAATGAGGGAACCTGCCTGAAATGCCACCCCCTCCCTATGGACCCTCCTGCCTCCCTCCTGAAAGTTCAACCTTCAACTCAATCCAGGTGAAGCCCCGTCCCATGCCAGTACCTCTTCCCCTTCAGTGACAGGCTTGCTTTAGGTGGCCACCTATGCTTTAGGTGGCCACAGAACAGCCCTCCAGCTATCCCTGCTCTGGGGGATTTGGCCCTTGGCCACCCAGTTTCTGAGTGTAGTGCTGAGATGGATCCAAGGTACTGAGCAATTCAGACCTGGGCATGCCTGAGCAGCACAGACCTCTCAGGCCCAAAACAGATAACCCTGAGTTGTGCAATTGATGATCAAACTTGGGTTTGGCATCAGCATTTGCATCCAGCCTCTTTTCAAGACTGATGCAGCTCCATACATTAAACCCATACACTTGTGCAGGTAAGGAAGCCAGAGATTTCCCCATTTTCTGAGACGAGAGCTTTCTGCTATCTTAACTACAGAACTGCTCTTTATGACTTTTATGTGTTTTCTCACTGTGTACAGATTAATAATTAGCTATTTCTCTGGGATATTTCTGTTGAGATTATATTGTCAGCAACATGTGCTGTGACAAAACTAATGTTTACACACCTTTTTTTTTCTTGCAATCTGATACACAGAAGCCAGTGTCCTAACTTCCTAGCACGATTCCTCCTGTGACACCAGCACAAAACTGGTGGTCAGCACAACGTACAGGAAGTGCTTTCCTCCAGAGCAATATGAAAACCTACATCCTCTTTCTTGAAAGTGAAGCGTGCTTAGGAACTGTGCTGAGGGTTACTTAACTCCCCCATCTCTCATTCTGGGACAGCCTGTGAAAGCAGTCCCATCACAGAATAACAGAATGTTAAGGGGTTGGAATAGATCTTAAAGATCATCTAGTTCCAAGCCCCCCTGCCATGGGCAGAGACACCTCCCACTAGACCAGGTTGCTCAAGGCCCCATTATCCAACCTGGCTTTGAACACTGCGAGGGCTGGGACATCCACAACCTCCCTGGACAATCTGTTCCAGTGTCTAAGAACAAATTCAATCTTCTTCCCCCAAATCAGGTACTATTCCCTAAATATCCATCCACCCTATCGAGGGAAGAAGATTCTTTCCGTGGTTGTCCACTTGTTATTTTTTTTGCTGGAGCTCTTGGGAGACATTTGCCCCCCACTGGGCAGCCCTGCGGCTGAGGGCAGCCCTCTCCAGCCGGAAAACGCTTCCACAGGCAGAACGTGCAAGCCCACATCTGTTTCTCCGAACCGTCAGACTTGTGCAGTTTTCTCTCTCCCGGGGGTCATTTACACTTCCTTCCCCCATCTGGATTTAATGCAAAAATAATCCCAGTGGCTTTGCCGAAACCGTGGAGGAGGTTCCAGTGGTTTCCCCTGTGAAGTCACACCCAACCAGAGGGTGCCCCGTGGCTTCAGGGCCAGCCGAAGGCCCTGTGCTCCGATGAGCTCCCAGCGCGGCTGCTCGGGGCAGCAAACGCTGGCGCAGGTGGGCAGCGCTGGGAAACGCTGGTTCCTCCTTTGCTTTCGCCCGGGAGGCGTCCAGCTGCGCTGTGTCGCAGCAGAGAAGTGTCGGAGGACGCCGCTTTCCTCAGCAGCCCCGCTGCAGCCGCCCCGGGGCTCCCCCTTCCCTGCGCCCGTGCCCCGGTCAGCGGCGGCTCCGGCAGCTCGGCCCCGGGCCCGCGGAACCGCCGGGCACACGGAGCCTCCCGGCACCCGCGGCGGGAGCGGGGCCCGTGCTCCCCGCTCCCTTCTCCCCAGCCGCTGCTCCTGCCCCAGCCCCGCTCCCGCAGCCTTGCCCTGCCCGTCGTTGCTGCTGTGTGTGCTTTAGCCTTGTCAGGAAAGGAAACCGGGCCTCCCGCCCCAGCTGTCAGAAGCCGTTGGGGTTCCTCTTGGTAAACTCAGCAATCTGAAGGCAGCAGCTGGTTTTGTTTTGAATGTACTTTTCCCACTTGCTTGTGTTTCAAAGAAGGAGATAGGGATAGTTAAACTTTGCAGCCTAAGGCTTTCTGCTGCACCAGCCAGTTTCTCCTTTCTAGTCCATGAACATGGAGATGTTGCCCCAGAACAAGGCTCAGAACAGGAGCTTGATATAGCTGCCCTGAACTGCTCCCAAAGCATTCTTTTGTGAAAGCCTCCCTGCCAGCCAGGGGGCATCATCCCTACAGGGATGTTCTGCTCTCCCTACAGCATATCAAGATAGCTACTTTACATGGTTATCTTGATAAGTGCCGAAAAGCTGAAGCTCCCAGTCACCCGTGACTTGTCTATATGGCACAGCAAGACAGTGAAAGGAGATAATCTGGAAAGGCAAGAAGGATAAATAGGTGAGGAAAACTACTTCTGCCCTGATGTTGAGGTAGGAATCTGAGGCAATGCCTTGAGAGTTAGCTGACGTGGAGCAAGCACTACCATGCAGAACTCCCACAGGCTAACGTGACAGGACTACCATTCCTCCATTTACAGACCAAACTGATTAAATCTGTGGCACAAGCAGAGGACTTCCACTGCTTGCTCTGCTGGCCAGTGTGTATGACTAGCCACAGGTGTGTACACAGGAGGAGAGTCCTGTTTCTCAAGATACACAAAAATAATACTGATCCATACAGTTGCTTACCAAGCTTGTAGAAAGAACATTTGTCATCACAGCACTGCCACACTCAAATGTTCTACTGCCCAAAAGAAGTTGTAGATATCAGATCCTGATCACACAGAGGAAATGCATCAGCATTTAATATTTTGCTATTCTTTTAGCATTCCCCAAGTCATGCAAGATTTCCCTGGGCCATGTTCCCTACTCACAAGGGCTACACAAATCTAGTTTCAAACCCAACACCATGACAGAGGACACAAAACAGCTTTGGACAACAGGGAGGAAAGAAAGCAAGATGGTGGCTTTTATCCTGTGGTCCCCCTCAGTCCTTTCTGTTTCCATAGCTTGAGTTAAAGGTCAGAGAGCATGACAGCACAAGGGTCTCAGGCCTCTAGTGGCACTGAGGATACAGGAATGTCTTTTTCAACCCTTGAAGTGGCAGGGATTGCCATAATGTCCATTGTGGATTGGATGCCAAAGCCCCATTTGTTCATCAAAAGCTACCAAAACTGCAAGTCTTCCCCACCACACCCCTAAAGTCTGCAACATAGTTTTTTTTCTCAGTCAAGACAAAGATCTGTGTAGTATTCTTAAAATACAAGTGTTACATAAATAAAGCTAAAAGAGGACCCCAAACCTAAACGTGGTACAAAACAAGGATGTTGAGCCCTATCTACTACATTTAATTCAGCAAGACCTCTGAATGGTGTATGCCAGTGACAGCCTGCTCTGAGAGGCTGGTTTGGATATACCACCACTGCTCTACTGGAGCTGAGGGAAATGGGCTGTCCCAGCAATAGCACCCCATCTATGCACGGTACCCTACTTTGTGATCCTGCAGCCCCTCAGGGTCTCTGAACACCTCTGCACTGCCCACTCACCACTCGACACCCTTCCCTATCAGGTTTTGCAGATCCCTTCTAGTGTTTGCCATCCTCTCAATTCACTGCCATGTCCTTACTTGGTGCCACCATCCATCCTCCAGCATAATGTCCCTCATGCTATAATGCCTTTCTTCTTCATCTCAGCAGTCTCTTGATATTGGTCTGGATCCAGTAGCCAGCCTTCTCCACAGCTCTTTCAGGGCCTGTGCCTGCACCTGGCAATGTGGTCGCTCAGACATGGCCCATCTACATGCCTCCATAGATCTTCCCCACAAGATTCTTACAGCTTACAAGGCATCTCTGTACTCTGTAGGCTCCCTCAACATCTCCCAGATGAATTTTCAGCTGAGATGTGGGGGAGAAGGCTGCAGAACTGATTCAGCATCCCAAAGGCTCTCCAGCAGTCAGGAACACAGGGCAGACTGGCCCAGAGAGTGGATCCTCTGAAGGTCCTAACTGTTATTTAGGACAAACACAGGCCCCGTTCATAAGAAGGATTCTCTGAGCTTATCTTCAGAAGACAAATGCCTCCCAGCTTCATGCCATGTAGAAGCCACTCAGGCTACAGAAAAAAGGAACTTTAAATGATGCCAACTAGTGAGAAGCCACTGCTAGCCCAGCCAGGCCCCCATGATGCAGAACGTCAGCCAACATCAAGAAGATCCACCCCCATGAGGGTTTTTAAGATGACTGTGCCACCAGCAACATCCACAGTGGCACAGGACTTCACCTGACAGCACAATGCCTTTATATCCATCTCCAAACTGATATAGCCATCTCCAGACTGATCTGTCCAAGCAATCAGACAACCAACCTACAAAAACCAACACAGTGCAGTTAACGGAGAAACCTCAGTATTATCATCTTCAAACCTGAGTGCAAAAATAAACTTGACTTGCCCATCTTTAGCACAGAGCAGCAAGTATATCTTAAAAACAAGCTACCCCACCCACCTGTAAAGAAGAAAGGTCACCAAAATAATACTCTGAATACAGGATTCTCCCCGAGAAAGAAATTAACAGCTCGTGATATGTAATAACATCCTTTAGCGCCTGTCATACAGAGAAACAACAGCTCTGGTAGGGCACAGTAAAAACTGCTGCCACCATCACTCTGTGCCGTTGGAAAGGGCACCACCTATTGTCGAGCTACCTGATATGTTCCACCAGCAGACACAACATTTAATTATGCTTTAATAATCTGGGCTGAAAATTTCTGTTTGCCTCCAGCAATATTTTTATATTACCACACTTCAATTGTCAAAGTTCAAATTATTTCCCTAAGTAAGGACAGAGAAAAACATTTCATTTCTCATATTTAAATAGGGAGAAAGACTCTCAGAAATCCCCAGAGTGCTGTTGAGGAACATCTCCCAGCTGGAAGCAGAGAGGAGCTCAGGGCTATTCCAGGACTCAGAGGAAATAAGGGCAAGAACTGAGACAGAGGCTAGTGAATCAGGATGGACTGTTTTAGCAAGGGTAGGAGTTAAGCTGGGTCTCCACATTGAACTGCAGTCCTGTCTCCAGAAAGAAGGCAAGTCCACTAGCAGTACCTCCACTTTAAAATGTCAACTTAAGAGACTAATCCCCAAGCTGGTCCTTGAATCACACTGCCAGAAGAAGTCCTGTAAGGAAGGAGCACACAACCAATAAGGCATTCACCAATGTTGTGGTCTAGTAATTGTGGCTCGGGATCAGCCATGTCAGATCTAAAACAAGATCTGCCAAGCTTTCTGTGTTCCCAAAACCTGCTTTCCCTGCTCTCTTGAACAGCTTGTGTGTTAGGGCTTTGCTGTGGAAATGCACAAGGCTGACTTGTTTCTGCAGCAATCCAAGCTACAAGGCAATTAAGTCATAGGAACAATTCTGCAGGAGTCAATTTGGGTCAAAGCCAGTTGTCCTTAAGCTGAGCTAATAAAATAGGCTGCACTCTAGCCAGCACTTTGGTCTCAGGTGTCTTTCTGCACTTCCAGGACAACACAAAGGAATATCTGCATCTGACCAGAATAGAGCAGGTTTGGAAAAAGCCAGACAGGCTTACTTAGCTCCGAATCCACAACAGTACAGAGTTGTGCTTCCTCAGGATCCAGCCTGTCACTGGCCCTGACCTAAAGGGTCTTGCTAAATCAGGTCTATGCAGAACACTTCCCTCCCCCAAATTCCCATGATTCCAGTGGTCATACTGGCCTCTCTCCTTGACGTACACCACTGCTCCACTCTCCCATAAGTAAGCTAGGCTGGAATAGCATATTTTCAGCTACTTCAGGCCAAAAAAAAAATCTGACACCACGATCCTCATTTTCAGTAATGTGAGCATTCAGCTCCCACTTGCAACACTGAAATTCAGGCCACAAATCTGTTACTTTTTATGCCTGCAGATGGTTGCTTCATCTCCCTACAGATGGTATCCTGAAGCCAAGGCAAGTGGCTTTCATGAAGAACTCCAAGGCTACTATTTGACACAATCTGAAGCCTAGTTTTCCAAGGAAAGACAGAACGCTATAATTGTGGCAAAAATCTTTATTAATAAACTAGATTTTGTAAATTCCTTTTCACATTAGAAATTCTAAATGCAGATTACAAAATTATTTCAGTAAAAAATGAAAGTTATAGTTAACAGCAAAATTACAACTTTATACAAATAAAAAAATCATTTTTTATTTTAATTTAAAAATAGAAATTTATATCTTCCAATATACTTACTGGTCCTAACAGCTTTTACAAGTGGTAGCTGCAGTACTAGGTCTTTTCACATGCATATTCACATATAGTCATTTAATCCTCTGCACAAGTTATTTAGCTAAAATAGCATGAACAGTTGGGCTTTGGTTGGGTTTGGGGGGGATGTACCACATGATATTAAAAGCAAAAGCCAAAGTATCTTGAAATATTTTTTAAAATAACATTTTTGCCCTACTACTTTCACAATCAACTGAAATGTTTTTCAACAGTCATGTTACTTCAGACAACTTTCTGCATTGCACCTCTGGGTCTTTTTTTTTTATACTGTAAGATCACTCATCAATGTTAGCACAAGCATTAATTTTGTACAATAAAAACAGGATAATTTTCCTAAATTAAAATTTGGGATAACTATTAAAATGTTTTGTAAAAAAGACACCAAAAGTCATATATTAAAGTCATCACAATCACATGCTGCTGAAGAACAGAATAAAAAGTAGTACACAAAATAGGTATTTTAACAGTTGCACATTATTTTAGAGTGCTGGTGGCAATACTACTGTTTTAATTAAAAGTGTAAGATGATACAGAATTTACATGATACTTCAGGATTCTCACTGATGTAATTGTAGAAGACATCAGAAAGGCGAGAACTTCTAAAATGTAACCTACTTTAACATACCATTTGGAAACAATTATATTTCATAGAATTCGTCACAGAATACATTATAAAACCAGTCAGAGAATACAAGATCTCCAGTGTTGTGTTTCTGGAATACTGGCAAGTAGCTGAAGGCATGAAGATCCTTACTGATAAAACTCTACTTACTTAGATCCTTCCTGATAAAACTCTACTTACTAACTCACTGTGCACTGAACTCCTGCTCCATTCTGCATCAAGCTCAGCACAGCTTTTAAGCACATGCTTAAGATCCTACAAAAGAAGAAGCTTGAGCTCATCATATTTTCTCTGAGTTGGAACTGCATCTTGAATTGCTGAAGCTGACAGAGGCTCTGTCACTATTTTCAACAGAGGCAAGACTGGTTCTACCCATGTTACAATTTTAAACCATCATCTTCCATCACAGTTCAGCTGGTAGTCAAACAACTTAAACTAGGTGAA